GGATTTTTAGGAAGGGGGCGATGCCCTTTCCCCGAGGAAAGGGGGATGCAGCCCTGCTCATCCTGGGATGCTCCGCAGCTCTCCTGCTTTCCCGCACAGAGGAAACTCCTTAATCCTCCGTCTCCAGCACCTCTTCCCTCAGAACTTCCCAAATTACGCATCCTCGCCCGGCACCATCATATCCTTGTAATTTGGGGAAGGAAAAGCCCTGCCGAGGAGCTGCCGTGCACAGAAACCCTCCTGCCATGCTGCCTCGCAAAGAAAAGCCTCTCTGCCAGGACAGCTGCTCTGCATCAAGCTTAATTATCTCAGCTAACGAGCAGCAAGGTGGGGTGACGGGGGAAAAGGAGCCAGCCAGGTGAAACGAGCCCATTGCTGTCTCCAGGAGCCAGCTTTGCTCTTCCCTCTGTGCCAGTGGGATGGATAGGGACAGCGGGAATCACAGCTCTCCCCAGAAAACCACACGAGGAACGATCTCAGCCCGGTTTGGTGCAAGGAAGGGCAAAGCAGATGGGGAAGGGTGGCCTGGACAGGACCAGCAAAGCTCTCTCCGCAGCCGGTGCTCGAGCCCAGGCAGAGAAAATGCTTCCAAGGGAAAACTCTGAGGGGCAGGAGGTTTCCTTACCTCTCGTCCTCTCCTCCAGCTGGGACAAGCAAAAGATGCTGGGGGCCACCAAGCCGGTGCAAGCCTTCCCCAAGGCATGCTTTGCTCTTAATGCCCCCTTAATTTTAACAAGGAGGGTATGTCCCCGTGCAAGGGCTGGGGAAGGAAACCACCCAGCATCTCCGAGATGCTTTTTCTCCTGTTGTCGAGGCTGGGTGCTTCTCCCCAGGGACTAGGCTTTCCACAGATGCCCCAGGAGGATGAGGGATGACCACATCTTCCCAGGCCTCCAGCCAAAGCAGCTCTGCTTTCTCCTACCTCTGCCATTTGCTGGGGGGAGCGATTAAACCAGAGGGCTTGGGGCAAGCAACAGCCAAATCAGACGCACTTGGGGTTGCTTTGCAAGTGCCCAAAAATTCACCTTCCTGCACCAGGGTCTTGCCAGCAGCCCCGAATCCACCGGAGCATCCAACATCGCTGCCGACAAGGAGCTTTTTTATTTAGAGCCGTGAATTATAGGATTTGCTACAGAGGTTAAACTCCCCCCAGGGAGCTCCTGCTAAAGCACTTTATGGCGCAGCACCAGCCCCTGCCCGTAGAGAGGATGATGAGGATGCTCAGAGGTGCCTGAGGGTGGGCAAGGCGATGCCTCCTTCCCCGCCGCGTCCTCCCGGGAGGATCAGCAGGAGATCGCCATCCCTTAAAGCACGTGGGCCCCGCCGGGGAGGATCCCGAGATCTTGCCCGAAGCTGGTCTTTCCAGCTCGACTGGAAGAGCTGGGAGCCGGATCGCTGCTGGTCTCCCCAGGATTGTTTTCCAGCCTCCCGAGCGGTTCCCTCGCCATCAGCCGATGCAATCGGCCGGTCCCAGCCCAAAGGTCCAGAAAAAAACCCATCGCGGTTCAGGCGTCCGCCGGGCCGAGAGCTGCCGTCTCCACCACTCGCCACGGGCGGCTCAACCCATTTGGCAGCTGATCCCGGTGGGAAACGAACATCCCATATCCCAGAGCCTTCCAAAAACCCTAAACAAGCTGAATTTTGCTCCTTTTCCTCCCCAGGCTCCCAGCTACACCGCCTGCCTCAGTTTCCCCTCCCTGCCTACCAGGCTGCATTTAAATAACCATTTCCAATTTTGGCGGGGGGCAAAATTCTCGCTCCCCGACATCTCCCCTCCGGGATGCTCGTGGCTTCAGGCAGAAGAAAACAAAAACCCCAACCCTTCCTCTATTAAAGATTAAAGCCAGCCAGGATCAGTCCTTTGAGGGGCTCAGCCCCGGTGCAGGAGCAGCCCCGGCGGGCACGGGCATTTTTGGGACTTGCACGGGCAAGAGGGGACACGTGCAGGGCACGGAGGAGCCACCGCATCCCTCCCATCCATCATCCTCCCCATCAAGGACCGGACCCCCCCCCGGGAGCTGTTAAAAAAGAGGAGGGGGAAGATGGAGACGGCGTTTCTCCTCCAGCCAGACCTGAAGCAAGGCAGCTGTCTGTCCGTCCGTCTGTCGGTGCTCCATCACCGACGCCAGTCTCCCTCGGTTAAAATTACCTCCCGAGGGTGGAGAGAGCAAAAGCCGGGCTGGGAGGGGAATAAAATCCAGGTGAGCTCATCCTCCTCCTCCTCCTCCGTAAAAGACGTCTCTACTTGGCACGAGCGAGGTGTTTCCAAGCCCAGCACATCCCTCACGTCGCCCCGATCGCTATCGCCCCGAGACCAGGAGCTTATTCATTCGGCAGGTATTTAGCGGGAAGATAATCCAGCCGCTTGCCAACCATCCTTCGGCCGAGCCAAAGGTGTAATTCCAGCGCGGGATGCGATTTTTCGATAAGAGGTTTCCCTGCTGATCCTCACCCTGGCATCCCGGCGGATGCTGCCTGGCCAGGAGAGGGTGGAAAAGCAGGACCCCCATCCTCCACCCCAACTGGGTTTTTTATTAAATTAATAATTTATTAAATTGATAATAAACCTATTTCTACTAAATCCCCGAGAATGGGAAGAAAAGCAAAGCTGCCCAGCCAAGCTGGATTATCCAAAGCAGCGACCGACCTAAAAATAAACAACCGCCATTTAAGGACGAGCCTCCCACGTTAAACCCCCCCCCCCAAAAAAAAATAAAAAGGAAGAAAGAAGCACAAGAAATCGCCGCTGTTTCCAAGCTGGGGTGTTTAGCATCACCCATCAGACCAAAAAAAGCCTATTTTGTGCTTATTTCTTAGCAAAACTCTGTGCTTCTAAGAGAAGAGCATCCCCAGGCTTAAAGCCACCGATTTATAGACACCCCATGCATTTAAGCAAGCCAGGCAAATAAATAATGACGATTTAAATATGCGTTTGCATAATACGGATAATCTGTCAATTTAACTTGTAAATGCAGTTGGAATTAAGCAGCGACTTTGTTAATTAGGCAGCACAGGGGCCCGGGAAGCCCCAGCTCCGCGGCAGCCGCTGAAGGACCATAAGGATGCTGAAGGACGCTAAAGCCGAATCTGCCGGGGGACGCGGGGGCTTGGCAGCCTTGGGGCAGGTTTTATGCCCCTAACACGGTGCCGCGGCACCCAACCCTTGTGTTTGCCCGTATTTTTTTTGCAAAAGTCCCTGCCCGGCTCCTCCAGCCCTTCCTCGGGAGCTGCCTGTACCTTCCCGCCCTGCCTGCACCAGCCAGCACCCAAAGCTGCAAGGGCTGCCCTCACCCCATGATAAAATAAAGGGCAGAGGGAAAAGAGCCTGGGGTAATATTTTTGAGGATAAATAGCTCTTTTTTTTGTTCTTGTTGCATAAATAGCGTGCTTTGATAGCCGGGCTCTTGGCCACCCTCGGCTCCCCGCACCCCAAATACCAGACGCAGCCTGGAAGGGAAACCTGTTGAGCCCGTATGGGCGCAAACAGGTTCGTTGTGATTATATATATTGCTGGGTTTTAATTCTGTTTTTTGTTTTGAAGCGGCGCTGGTTATCGTACAGAGATGGGCCCGAGGACTTCCCAGCCCTTGGCTTCTCGGCTTTTACCCCGCAGCATCACGTTTAACCCCGAAAGCCCTTCGCTCCCCTTAATTTTTGACACCATCCCCACATCCCACACCCTGGTCCTCCTTCAGTCCCGCATCCCCCCAGTCCACTTGCATCCCCTCTCTCTGCATTTTTGCCCCCTTATCTCTCACTTTCCACCCCATTTTTCCCCACCATGCCCCCGGCGCTCGCCTCCATTCCCAACCCAGGCGGGTCCGGGTCCATCCTCATCCCATAAAATCGCACCCCACGCTGTGGGGGGGGGGGGGGGGGGGGGGGGGGGGGGTTCAGACGAGCCCGACCACCACGGAGCTGCCGGGACGGGGTTTTAACACCCAGACGGGGGTGTTTTATTATCTGCCGTGGGAATGCTGGGCTGGCAGCGTGCATACAGCAGCAGCAAAGCCCCAGAGCAGCAGGTTCGCAGCATTAAAAGCAACCCCAACATTGCTCGGTGCTTTCGTGCCTCAGTTTCCCCCCGTTTCACAGCGTGGGGAAGCTCTGCCCGGTCGGCAGTGCAGGCAGGGGACGGAGCAGGGACCCCAAGCCCCAAACTCCAGCCCAGCTCATAGATATATATATATATTTTAAAAGGAAATTAAAAAACTACCCGATGGAAATGTCGCAAGCGGCTCAAAACCTGACACAGGATCCAGCCCGGGGCTGCGGCTTGTGCAAGGCCATGGGGCAAGTTGCAACCTCTCGCCGCTGGCGAAAAAAACCTGAGGCTCGGCTGACTCAGCCCAGCCGGATATCAGGATGCCAAATCCGGCCGGGAAAACGTCGGCGAGGCTGCCGGCGAGCTGGGGGGAGACATTTTGCAAGGGGAAGAGCCGAAGCGGGAACGGCATCTGGAAGCGATCGGAGGCGAGGAGCCTCTCCCAGGCGCAGTGGGGAATTCCAACGGCGTGAGCTCAGGTTAAAGCCTCCTTCGCAGACCCAGGATTAAAAAAATAACAAACAAGCTTCAGCATATATATATTTATACCTGCAAATAACGAAGGAAAGGAAGCCAGCTCCCTGCTCAGTCCTACTTGGACGCGGCTTTGCGATTTAGGTTGATTCCGATTCGCAATAAAAACACCCCCAAAAAAAAAAAAAACAGAAAGAAGAGGAGAAATCTCTCTATAGATTTGTTGACAGAGTTTTGCAGGCGTGGTGTTGGGAGGAGAGTCCTCCTCCGGCGCTGCGTTGTTTAAAACAGCCTGGCTTGCATTACGATGTACCCTGCACCATCCATCCCAGGGCATCGCTGTATCCCACCTCCGAGCATCCCTCGTCGGCACGGGCTGCATCCCACACTGCTCCTTGAGTGGCAGCGGCTCAGCAAACCCAGGAGCATCCCAGCATCCTCGGGATGGCATGGAAAAGCCGATGGAGGATGCCATCCTCGCTTAGACAGAGCGGTCCTCTGCAAGGGACCGGTGCGGCGGGGAGCCCCCGGCCCCCTCCAGCCACCCCTGAGCCCGTGGGACCGCGACCAGCAGCACCCATGGGTGGTCAAAGCCACCCCTGTTGGGCACCCTGACGTCCCCCTGCGGCTCCGCCGTGCCCTTTCGCACGGCCAGCACGTAAATACGCACCTTAAAACCAAAAATACCCGACCGCACGTTAACACCCACATTGATACTACATAAATAACTTGCCCGTAATTAATATAAACCACCTGCACGGCGGCTTGGCCGCTCAAGAAGTCCCAAGCATCCCGCCGAAGCGATGCCGGCAAACCTGCACCCCGTCTCTCTGTGCCGGAGCAATTTACGGCAGGGCAGGATCCACAGGGGATGTGCAGGATCTGGCCCCCTCCACCAGCGCCTACCAAATCCTCCTGCTCCCCCAAAATTGCCGCTTCGGCCCCATCACGCACCGAACAACCCGAAGCAAGCGCTCGCCCGCATCCTTCCCACCTCCATCGCTCCCACCCACCTTCCCGGCAGCTCAGCGGTCATCATCCTGCACCCATCCACGGCACGGCAGAGCCGGACCAGCCGGGAGCAGCGTCCACGGGTGATGCCGGCACAGCCGCTCGGCAGCCTCCAGCAGACGGCAAAACACATCCTGGAGAGGAGCCGCAGCCCGTGCCAGTCCAAAACCGCTCCGAGCATCCGCCAGTCCGAAGCAAAACCGGGATGGAGGGGGGGCTCCTTCTCCGGTTTCGCTGTTCCCCGCCGGCCAAATCCCTTTCTCCTTCCTCCGAGAAAACTTTCCAGCCCAACCCCGGTCACATGCAAGGGGTCAGCAGCTGGAAACGAAAGAGATTAACAAGAACTGGGCTTTTTTTTTTTTTTTTTTCCTCTTTTCCCTCCCAAGAAGACGCAGGATTTTCCTAGAAAAAGCTCAATAAACACAAGGATCGCGGCCGGAGGACGGAGAAGCCGCCGGTGTCCAAGCGCAAGAGGAAGGCGAGGGGAGGTGAAAAACACCAAGAAAAGAGAACCAGAAGTTGCAAAGAGCAGCGCGAAAGCGTCAAATCGTTTCCTTTCCTCGCTGCAAAATGAAAACCGCTCGTGCCGGTGTCCCCGACGGCGTCGCACAAGGGTCACCAGCCCGGCATTCCCGGTCTGGGATGGGGAGAGCGGGATGGGGTCCCCGTAGGGATGCAGGCCAAGCCGGGATGCCAGCCTCTGCAGGAGGAAGACCACATCCCTACTCCTTATGCAGCCATGGTGCTACGCTCAGAGAAAACAACCAAAAGGGGGGGGGGAAATTAAATAAAATAAATTATTTTTTCAAAAAAGGAGGATAGGAAAAGCTCTTGAGAACAAGACTCCCGGCCCGAAGTAGCTCTGAAATACTCAGGACTAACGCAACGGGACCATCGCCTTACACAAAAGAATAAGCAACAGAATAGGTGGGATTTAGAGATATTGCCAAATAATTAGTTTTAATTAGTGGGATTCAATCTGAGAATCATTGCCGGCCAAAACCCCCCAAAAACAGGCACGTGGAGGGCCCCGGTCTCGCCTCTTGCAACCTCTGATGGTGGTTGCAAGCATGGGGATGACCCAAGCTACAAAAACCCAGGCTTGGAGACAGTGAGTACGGTTGTTCCAGGGTTTAAGATGGCCTTAAATAGCTGTTTTCGCTCCACGGGTGGGTTTGCGCTCCATGGGTGGGCTGGGGACCAGGAGGACGCTCCGGTCACCATGACGGTCCCAAGCTCTGGAAGACACCCTACTCACCGATCTCCACGGTGGACACCCCTTAAAATTAACGTCGCCAGATAGTTCCTCCTCTTCTATTTACATTTGCAGAGCCCTGAGCTTGTATCCCCACGGGATTCGGTGCCTTGCTGTACCAGTTGCTATTAAATGATCGCCCGGAGCTGGAGGAGCAAGCAGCCCGCTAATGATGCAGGTAATTAAGCACAGGGGTTAGGGAGAGTCCAGCAAAGCGCGCTGATCCCATCCTATGGCTTGTAAGGATGTTAGGAGTGCGTTATAGGTTGGACGTGTCGTTAGGAGCCAGGGTAGGAAGAGGAGACTGCTGCCTGCGGGACAGCCAGCACTGGAGCTGGAGGCGGGCATCTCCTGGGATGAGTCCACCTCTGCTCGAGAGCCCGGCTCTTCCCAGGCTGGGATCCGGCACGCGTTACGGAGAGCCGCGACGCAACGGGAAGCGCGACTGCAATGCAAGAGGAATCGCAATTGCAATGCAACGCGGCACGGAAAGGCAAGCTGACTGCAGCCACCGCTCATCCCCGGCCCCAAAGCTCCAGGTCGAGAGCAGTGACCCCCCCGCCTGCTCCAGCCCCTTCGCTAAGCAGAGATGGTTCCCTGTACGCGCTTAAAATCATCGGTTCCACCACCAATCCGGGGTTCTGCCCTGCCCAGGGTGTCCGTCCCGTGTCGCTCTGTCCTGCCGCTAGCCACGGAAAGCCTGCGCATCTGGCAAAGCCCGGGCAATCCCTCTGCTCCGCTGCCAGCCTCTTCATCTCCAAGAGCGGTCGGAGGGAGAGCCTGGCAGGGAAGACAGGCAAATTCAGCGGGGTTTTCCCAAAAGCTCCACCCTGAGACTTTAATTAGCTCATCTCGCTAAGAGATGGGGACCGGAGTCGCTGAGCAGCCCGGCACCCCGACCCACTGGGCATCAGGGCTGCGCAGGCATCGCTCTGTCGACCCGACGGGGAACGACGCCTCCCGTGCCCGACGTCCAAGCCGAGGAGCACAAAAAAGCCCCCGCAGGAAGATTTTCCTTTGTTCTCCGCCCCCCAGAACAATAAAACCCCATCGGCTCACCCTGCAAAAGACCTGACAGTGAAAGATGGACAGGGAAAAGTCCAGCTGCTCCTTTTTCTGCTGTCTCGGGGCAAGCATCCTCATCTCCCCTCGGGAACGAGCCCATCCCGTGGGAGAAGAGAGCTCCAGGCGCACGCGATGGGGTGGGATGGGATTTATTGGTATCCTGCACCAGGATCCCGCTCCCAGCAGCTCCATCCATGCCAGGATCGGTCCCTCCTATCCCTTTGGGATCGCCAGGCTATGGGAGTGCATCCCTCAACCAGTCAGAGGACGCTCGGGGATGGGGGGGAAAAAACCGCTCAGACCACTTAAACCATCCTCAGCCTGCGCCGCGGCGAGAGCGATGCCGTCCTGAGCCGCGCACGGGGCACGTCCTCCCCTCCCCAGGGCCTCCGGGAGGATTTTCCCTTCCTTACGCCGGCGCCCGGGCGTTAATATCGCACGTACCCATCGAAACCGGCCCCCCGCACGCTATCGGGAGACGCCAGAAACTCTCTCGCCGGGGATCTCGGGGTGGGTTCGCCTTCCTTAGGGATGGCCGTGGGCAGGACCGATGCCGAAGGCCGGTTTTTCCCGGCAAGACGCAAGGGTTTTGTTTTGCCGGGGATCGGGCAGCAGCGGCCGGAAGGGCATCGCGAAAGCGGGGGCTTCTCTCTCGCCGCTGCCCGCGCACGCTTCGCCACCTGGAAGTTCAACCGCGCTCAGGCGCTAATTAATTACGTTAATTAGAAAATATAGTAATTTAAAAAAAAAAAAAAAAAAAGCCGAAACACAGAAATAAAGCCGCTTTTTTGCTTTCCGGCGCGTCACGCTCGCCAGGCGTGGGATGCGTGGGTGGGGGGCCAAGCTTGGGTTAAGAGG